ACGAAAGTTTCTTGTTTTGCTTTTGATTTCTCGTTTGGGGCTAGGCTGGACAGGGCTGGTGGGCTGGGCTAGGCTTGGAATTGGGCTGGGAACTCCTGGCACACATTTGATGAACAATTCGAAACTATAGCGAAGATGCAGCTCGGAGCAAAGACCGAGCTTTGTGCTTTTGACGAATTTGGGCTGCTGGGGGGTGGTGCTGGGGTGGACGTAAGGCTGGCTGGGGCTGGGGAATGGGGGCAGGGTCAGGGGTGTGGTGGCTAGGCTGGCATGCTGTACAATTTCTATTTATCCCGGTCTTGAGGGTTTAGTGTTCAGGATGTCTGACGTTTAGGGTAAGGGTTCAGGGTTTTTAGGAGTTTGGGCTTAGGGTTCCTTTTCGGGCAAAAGTTCCTGTAGGGGTTTGAGGTTCTTAGGGTTTTTACGTGGTTTAGTTTTTTTTAAGGGCTCCTTATCGGCGTTCCTTTCAGGGCTCGTAGTGTGTTGGGGTTCCTGTAAGTCCGATTATACGGGTTCTAGAAAGGTTTCTTCCAGGGCTCCTTACAAGGGTTCCCTACACCCTGAACTCTAAAGTGAGGTTTCTCAGGTCAGAGGTTCTATATGGGCTTAGGGCTTAAGCTCAATGGGGTTGTAGTGTTTATGGTTCTCAAGCTTTAAGGTTGTTTTAGGGTTTAAGTTCAGTTATGGGTTAAGGTTTTAGGGTTTAGCATCGGAGGTTTGCAGTTTCAGCGTTTAAGGGTTCAAGAAGGTTTAGGAGTTTTGGGTAGGGCTTTAGGGTTAAAGGGGTCTAGGAATTAGGGTTTGGCGTGTTCAGGTTCAACGATGGTTGATAGAGTAGAGTTTGAGGGTTTAAAGTTGAGTCAGGGTCTGGGGTTCAGGCTTTTTGGGCGTAAGGTTCGACAAGCGTTTTAGGGTTGAGGGTTTGCTTGTAGTGCTTAAGGTCGTGTTTGTGGTTAAGGGCTTCAGGGTTTAAGGGTTGGGTTTTAAGGTTTTAGGTTGAAGGGTTAAGGGTTTGTTAGGTTTAATTCGGGTCTGGGGCTCTAGGGTTTCACGGTTTATGGTTCAAAGAGCGTCCAGGATTCCGGATTTACGGCTTAAATAGGATCAAGTGTGCAAGGTTGTCGGGTTCACGATTTAACTAGGGCTTTGGGTTTAGAGTTGCGGATTTAGGGTTCACGGTCTTCGTGAGTTGTTTTGAAGCCCCCATCAAGACGCTCTAGAAACTTCGAAGGGTTGTGCAGCAGTTCCAGAAGGGTTCAGGGTTAATTTTCTGGACGTTTGAGGCTCGTGGCAAGCCTGAGAACTAGACCCTTGTAAAATCCTAAAGCACCCTGTTAAGACCCTGAAGAACCTGACCTTCATACAATCCTAAAGCACCCTGTTCAGACTCTTGAAAGCCCTAAATCCTAAACCCTTAAGAACCTGCTTCTCGACAGCGAAGGCAAGCCCCAGCAACCGTGAGAAGGAGACCGCCCGGGTGCAGTGCGAGAAGCCCCGCACGCTTGTGCAAGCGATGCAAAAAGGTACTCTTCGTTACGCATACGAGCCAATGTAGTTGTCCTGTGAGTTTTAGGAAGGCTTTTTCCAGGGCCTTGGTGCTTGGAACGAGGGATTTGTTTGAGGTTTGGTGGGGATTGTAAGGGTGTACAGGAGCCTTGTAATCAGAACGGGGCTTTGGGGTATACGGGTATACTTAACATATTGATGCCAAATGTTGCGGTGTCTTAGGATTGAGTGCAATGCTGTTGGCTTACCTTAGCCTTACGAGTACGTACTGGTGTAGGATTGTCGCTGCAGAGTGGCACGCAGAGGACTTTTTGCGGTTCGGGTTTCGATGACATAGAGGCTTGAATCCGTATTCTTACTTCCTTGTAGTTCTGGCTAATAAAGTATACTCTACCATCCTTCCCAAACGCCGTTCTAGTTATGAAGGCCTCGACGTTACGTTTCTTTTTCTTTGGACAAGGGGGCGGCTTGGGGGGCTCGAGGTCCCAACTTCTACCCTACGAGGCAGTCCCGAGGGTGTTCGTGCTCGCAACCTTTTTTGGGGCCGCGGGGGGGGGGGGGGGGGGGGGGGGGGGGGGGGGGAGATATGCAAGCCTTGAGGGTTTCAGGGGTTTCAGAACCCTTACTAAACCGTAAACCGAAACCCAGACCGCTAAACTGCCCTAAACTCTTTCGAAGTTTCAGTCTTTTCAGCGGCCTAGACAGGCCGAGAGAAACCCTCAGTTCTGATCTTCACATCCCAAACCAGAAGCCCTAACACGTGATAGAAGAAACCCCGAGACCCCCACCACCGGAACCCTACACCTGGGAGTTCAGAGACGAAATCGCCTTGTGAAGGAAATGGACGCTTTTGAAAGTTGATTCTACCACCAGCCAGCAGCTACAGCGGTTCCGGCTACGCGTTTCTCATTGCTCAGAGGCACCGCAGCACGCCCCATGGCTTCCCGCAATCAATCGAAACGGGCATACACTTGCCTAGCTTCCGCAGCCCTGAACCTGGTGCTGGCCACGGACCCTCTCACCCTTTGCCCCCCTATATAACCGTCTATAAAAAGATTAAGAAGCTGAAGTAACAGAGACCTTGCATCGGGGCCCTGCAAATGTAAACCCAACATGCTATCCTAACTTCTTCAGCCACTGCAGACCGTAAGCCTGGAATTATTGTGGGGATCCTAAACTCCTTACCTGACTACAAGACCCCTAGCCAAACCTCACGTCGCCTCCACATCTGGGATGAAGCCGGCAAGTGGCTATCCTACGCCTCCCGGGCCAAGCGCTTGGGAGGGTTTAGGGCTTCAGGGTGTAGAGGCAGCTTAGGTTTCAGGGTTTAGGGAGTTTAGCGTTTAGGGTTTAAGAGTGTGGGGTGTGCTTTGACTATGGACTTTCGGTTACTTAGTTAGGGCTTGAGTCTTTGGGATTTTCGTGTGTTAAGGCTTCGGGCTTCAGGATTTGACTTGGGGGCTACTTCGGGCTTCGGGAAGTATGGGGTTGCAACATTTTAGACCGGTTTGGGGTTCAAGGTTTGGGGTTTCACGGTTTAGGGTTTAGGGATTCGCGGTGTAGGGTTTCGGGTTTAGCTCGAACCAACAACAGCTTAAACCGTCAGACGCGCACATCGAACAGCTAAGCCCTAAACCACAACAAAGCACTCTAATCACTCCGAAACTCCCCCAAACCCTCAACCGCAGACCCCCTGATTCTCGTCTGTGTTTGATAGGCCAAAAAAATCAACGAGCCGGGCAGCGAAAAGTTCGCTCATGCACACCATTGCTGAAAACATCGTGCTTTGATCCTTTGTGCTCTTCCTTAAACGGCTGCAACTGACTTGGGTCGCCAGTTTCTGCACCAATGTAGGGTTCCAGGAATCCAGGGTTCTAGGGCTCTGGGGGTATAGGGCTATAGGGTGAGAGGGTTTATGGGTTATAGGAGTACAGCAAGCTTAAGGGCTTCAAAAGAGGTTTGTACAGGCCTTTACTGTGGGCCGTGGTGTTGATGATTGCAAGGCTTCCAGAGGCCAGCAGCGACCACGCTATGCCCAAACCCGCAGTAGACCCTCAAGAGCCGACTTTCCGAAAGCCCCAAACCCTCGAATTCTGAATCTGGAATCCTGACTCTAACCACCCCAAGTGCTGAACTTTCGGTTCTTGAAACACCCTATGTAAACAAAAGACACCTTACCACAAGATGTTGCACAATTCCTTGTCTGGACCCCCCCAAAACCCTAAACCCTAAGCCCCAAGCCCCCAAACCCTAAACCCTAAACCCCCAAAGCCCCATACATAAACCCGAAAGGCCATCTAAACCCTAAGCCCTAAACCCTTCTGGGGGGCCTCTGAGGGGCACAGCCTACGCCTCCCGGGCCTCCTCCAACTCGCTGCTGGGGCCTCAACTGTCTGGTTGTTTGGGGTTTAGGGTTTAGGTGTTCAGGGTTTAGGGGTTTAGGGGTTTAGGGTTTAGGTGTTTAGGGTTTAGGGGTTTAGGGGTTTAGGGTTTAGGGTGGGGGAATGGGTTATGGGGACTACTATTGGGGATTAGATATAGGGACTACTATCGGGATCCATTCCCCCATTCCCTGCTAAGCACCAGGGCCTCAAGTGGTGACTGAGGCTTCTGCATTAGAAGCCGGTTTAGGGGTTTAGGGTTTTAGGGTATAGGGTTTGGGGTTTAGGGTTAGGTTAGGGCTTCAGGTTAATTGTAGTCCTGAAGCCCCGAAGCCTTAACCCCTAAATCCCATGCCCGAAACGATTGAATCCCTAAACCATAAGCCCGCCAAGGCTGAATCCCGCCTGTTGTTGAAGACTCCAGCCAGCCTTCTGCACTCTTGGGTTCTTGTTAAACTTATGACAAGAAAGGAACCCCTGTTGTTTACGATAGATCCCTGGTATGGTGGCTATTGAGTTCCTTAGCAAGAAGAACCTTGATCTTATGCAGAACCCCAAGCCCTGAACTCTAATCCCTAAGCCCCAACAGGGATCCAGGTAACGTCGACGCCTGAATATTGAATACTATTCCTTAGAGCTTTTCTATTGTAAGTATACTAGGATGCACCCGTAAACCCTACTCTATATGAATTCAAACGCCTAAACCCTAAACCCCTAAGCCCCTAAACCCGGTGTTTATGGTTTGCGTGTTCTTTTTTTCAATTCGTTTTTGGTTGCAAGGGTCAGTTTAGCGCAATGTTGACTGCTGATTAGCCTCGAAGCCATGATCATGGGGATCCCGAGAGGTGGTTAACTGATCACGGCTTCTACAGAACTGATGTCCCCCATAATGCCATTGGTCTGGTTGGTTACGATGTTAAGACGACCCCTCCTCCCCGCGCTCACCCGATTCTGAGATACTGCAATAATCCCATCCATTTGATTAATATTGGTGTTATTTCTGCCAGTATTATTGTTATTATTTTGAAGTCGTACTGCTAGTGTTAATCTCGAATATTTTGTAGTATTATTACTATTAAGGGACCCTGTTCTAAACTCCCTCTAAGACGTCAGGTCTACGCCCCGCGCCTTCCGCTCCTTCGCGCAGGGCATCCGCGGCTTGGCGCGAGCCCAGGCCCACCAACTCTTGGCTTAGGGTTCCTAGAGGAGTTTGTGTTTAGGGTTCAGGGTTTAGGGTTTAATTGGGATTTGGTGCTTGGGGTTTGGGCTTTGGGGTTCCGTCGAGCATTCGTCAGTCAGTGTCAGCCATCAGGACTTGTGCCAGCTCAAAGCATACGGGTTGCAGGCGTTTCTGGCGAAAGGAGAGCAAGAGATGCCCTTACGCCCCCAGACAGGGGGGCAAACATGGAGGACTTTAACAGGGTCAACACGCTCTTTCAAGTATGTCGGTGCGGTACCCAGACGGAGTTGTTTATGCAGAGAAACAGAACGAGCTTTAGCGTAAATTGGAGGAATCAGGCGTTTTCGGTGACGTCAACGACAGTCATTCCCGCATTGGAAGGCTTGTGACACAGTTTATTTACAATTTGACATGTAGAAGCATCGAAAGCCTGAGTTTCCGGAGGCAGCAGACAAAGGTTCCGTCTGGAAATTCTCATCCAAGAACTTTCTTATTGCATCACTTTGCACAGTCTCCAGAGGATCTTGTGTACTGTAGATAGCTTCCTAAAGGCAAGATTATGCTCAGCAGCTAAAGTGGTTTGCCTAGAAACGAGCGTCGCGCAAATGCTTCTCAGATCACGCTAGAAGGGCAGACCTAACTGCCGCGGAAATGGGTTTGGGGTTGGGTGTTAAAGGGTTTGGTGTTCCCAGCGAGCCCAATAATACCCTTTGATTTAAGAATATACATCAAAATACGAGGTTAAGGAAATATTCCTTGAGTTACGAGTTTAAGGAATTTACTCGTACCATACATAATTAGGGGCTTGATATTCTGATTTACGCTGTGTTCCTGAAATTAAAGGTTGTTGGGCTTTCTGGCTTCTCAGCAGGTTTCCACAAAAGGGGTCCACAAAGGTTGAGATAAGGGTTCTTTCGGTCTCATATCTACATCGTCCAGGACTCTATAAGGATTCTTCCAAGGGTTCTAAACTGTTTACAGGGTTCTTGACGGCGTGAAGGATAGGAAGGTGCGGCGTGTAGAGCTGGCTTCTTAGAGTGATTTGGGGGTTTAGAGTTTAGAGTTTTGGACTTAAGGGTTTGCGGCGTAGGGTTGAGGGTTATATTATATACGGGTCCGCAAAGGGCTCTTTACAGGTTTGAGAAGGGCTCTACCAGACTTCCACAAGGGTTCTTTATGGTTTATTTCAGGGCCTAAAAGGTTTCTATTTCAAATTGAGAGTATCCACCTTTCTTCATGGGATTTTCACGGTGTCTCACTGGTTCCACTGGGTTGGGGTTTCAGGGCTGGCAGCGAGGATTTCAGAGATGCTAGGCCTCTTAGGGGTTTTGTTTGTTGATTTTGCAGATTTTTGGGGTTTATGGCCTGTCGGGTTTGGAGACTGCCAAAGCCATATCAACTATGTCATGATATGATATAAAATGATATGGTCAAGTTCAAGATGATACAGACTATAATATCATAACATATTATAGCCTTATAGCGTAGTATAGATAGACTATAATGTAGTAACATCTTGTAGTGTAGTATACAAACTCCCCAGAGCCAACTTCTTACCTCGGCAACAGCGCTCCGTGGACCCCAAGCCGCACTCCACACCAGAAGCCCTAAACCTTCAACCAGACCTTACCTGTGGCCCAAGCGACCTACTCTGTTAAGGAAGTATGTATAAAAAACCACAATAAACCCTAGTAGAATGATAGCCGTTCTAAGGAACGATGTCTAAAGAACCATAATAAGGAGCCCCAGAAGATACGAGGGCTTTTCGGCTACAGGTAAGCCCTAATCCCAAGTTCCTCGACCCCGAAGCCGCAGGCCATCGCCGATGCTGGTCTTCCCGCGGATGTTGATGTCGTCTCCCTGGTGCGGCGGATTGTGCGGTACTCGGATGCAGCTGCCCGGGTCTAGGGTTTAGGGTTTAAGGTTCAGGGGTTAGGGTTTAAGGTCTAGGGTTCAGCCAAGAGACGCAGTGCCGGAAAAAGTGGGTAATATCCCGCTGGAAACTGTAGGCCCTTTCTTTTTATGCTACGATGTACCCCCGCCAACCCTATTCTAGGTATCAATGGCCGTTTATTATGTTGGAATTAGAGAAGGAGCTTTCTACCAGTGAAGCATCCCTTGATCCGAATCCTCCGCCGTTACGGGCTTAGTGCTTCAGGGTTGAAGTTTCAGGTTTCCGGGTTTAGGCTGCTGAGGCTGAGAGGTTTCCTTAAGCTAGCAAAACCGACTTTTTTGTAGGTTCTTGTTATATACTTTGATATGGAGTCTAGTCCCAAGCGCAAAGTAAGCCCTCAGCCTAAGCCGATCAGGGCTTCCCAATGAGCCCCTCAACCCTAAACCCCAAGCCAGCAAACCCGAAACCCTAAACGCTTAATCCACTAAATCCTGAACCCTCAACCCATACCCTAAACCCGAAAACCGTTAAAGCCCTAAACCCCAAACCGTAGCGCTTGAAACCGCAGGCATTGACCCTCGCGTTCCCGGAGACTTTTCAGAAGGCGAGCAGATAGGGCGGGGTCAGAGTGGCTATGAGGGCTGTTCGAAAGGCTCTGTATCGGTTTCTTTATGGGGTTGAGACTTGAGGGTTGAAACTTTTGGGTTGAGAGACTAGCGCAGTGTAGGATGTGAGTGAATGCCAGCATCCTGTTCTGCTTATCTGAGGCCCTATACTTACGAGGATACCCAAATCCCAAAACCTGAAGCTTACACTACGACCGAAACCCCAACTACTGATAGGCTGGTGGAGTTCCGTGTGCGAGATGGACGGTTCAGAAAATTCGGGGCTGCCTTGCTTCGGCGGCCTTGTAGACATGAGTTCTACTGTTTTCTATCCAACTTGCGGCCCCGGATGTTGAGAAACTCCGATATCCCGGGTTTGAGGTTGGTTCATCGGGATCGGACGAGGAATAGCCTACTGCTACGAAATGCACAATAAACGACCCTTACAATCATCGTAAACCCTCCTACGTACACCGAGCAGATTCAGCCAGTAAGACCCATGTAAGCTCATCAAAGCCAAAGTATAATGCACCCGATTCAAAGAACCATATAAGAAGCCCTCTTATGCAACTTATATCAAGACTACAAGAGCTGTCCCCAGCCTGAACCGTATGAAGCTTGAAAACCGAACGCCCTAAGCCCTGAACTCCGTCCGAGCCTCACATGGATCCCGTTCTTTAGGGCTTGATATGGATCCCGTTCTTTGGGGCTTTATATAGGGTTGTTTAGGGTTTAGGGTTTTTAGAGCCATCCCTTGAAGTCTCAAGCAAGCCCCAAGTCTCACATACTCCCGGCTCCATAAATCGTAAACCCCCAACACCTTTTAGAACCCTTGAAGGAGCCCTTCAAGGAGCCCTTTAGGAGCCTTTGATGGAAACCCTCCTCACCACTTCTCCACTTCGGCCCCGCACCTCCTGGACCTTTCCAGGCAATCGCCCTGATGTTCGAAAAACTTGCAGAGCCGCACGGCTTCGACGACGTGCCGCTCGGCGGCAGAGTTGTCCTGTTCTTGTAGGGATATTGCCTCGGTGGATTGTTTCTTTTGAGGGTGGAAGGTGTGTTGTATGGGGTGGTATGCCTTGTGTGAGTCATCAGCATTCTCAAGTGAGTCATGTACCCTAAACCCTAAACTAGGCCCTGAACCCTAAACCTGGGGTGGGTGTTGGGCCGCGCTGTGGGATTTGGTAGGATGGCCGAGTCCCTGCGCTTGCACTTCGGTTGTTGATACGTAAAGAAGTCTTCCACTTTATGTAGGATTTAGGGTTTAAAGTTTGGGGGTTCTGTTGGAGTTTCGATGCTAATTACTTCAGGTTACACAGTTTTAGGTTTCGGGGAGTCTCTGTCTGGATCGAAGAGTATGCAAGATGTATTCGGAGGTGGAAGTCGTAAGTGACTTTGAAGATTCTGGGCAAGCTGACAGCCACCGACATGAAGAAGGAGGCTGTGAAGCTGTTGAAAGAGCTTGGGACGATAGCTAAACCAGACGATGATAATTGGCGCCGGCAAGAGCATTCCGCATTGGAATGCAAGGATTGGTGGCATACCTAGACTGAGGTGCTGCTCAAGACTTGCTCTCCACTTGTGCATAGTCTTCCATGGGTCCTGTCTGGTGTGATGGTTAGACCGTAATATAGCGGCCTTAATAATTACCTACATTGTGTTGGGGTTCCATTTATAGTGTAATATACGTACCCCCAAACCCTATTCTAATTGTTAAGGCCCCTACAGTACCTGAAACCCCTGAAGCGCGCGATGCTGACTCCTCAGAATGAGAGGTTTGAGTCTTACAAATCGTACATAGGTAAGTGGTGAGCCCTAAGCCCGGAACCCGTACTAAACCCTCATCCCTAAACCCTAAACTCTAAACCCCTAAGCACTAAACTCTAAACCCCTAAACCCTCAGCCTCTTATTCCTAAACCCTAATGCCTTAAGTAGTGAGCCTCTGAAGCACATGGAGTGTCCGCGGGCTAGCCAACTTTACGGGCTAGGTTAGTTAGTTGATGCACACATTTCCCAATACAACGCACCTGCTTGTGATTATGATGAGGACGACAACATTGATGAAAAGATGATGGTGATGATGGTGATGGTTCTGATGGAGCCTGCGGCCCAAACTGAGATCGGTTCGAAGGTGTACTGCGGCTTGCTTGTGGGTGTGTTCTCTGGTGTCTTGGGTTGTTGGGTCCTATGAGCTATGGTAGGCGACCGACAGGCTCTGAGCCCGAACCCTAATCCCTTTCTGTTAAGCCCTAAACCCTAGAGCCTTGCAGAGCCCTCCCTTAACGAGCCCCTTAAAAAACCTGTTCACGAAGGCAACGAGCGCAGCCCGCAACCAGAATCATAGCATTCCGCAAAATGGATATCTGAAATGTTCAGCTGCAAGATCTCGTTGTAGTCCCAGTTTACTAACACTAGAACTCCAAACCCTGCTCTAATTGTTTTGAAAGGTCCCTACATACAATGGTCGGGGAAAGGGTTTGCAAGATGATCTAGGTCAGTTTGATTCGGTTAGCGTTTACGGCTAGTTTAGGGATACCGTTTTGTGATTTTGAGTGTAGTATTGTAGGGTTTGGTTTCTGGATCTCCCGAGTTAATAGTTTCCCCAAACAACGTTAACACTTGGGAAGGTATCCCGGAACCCGTGCCCAAGGGAATTTTTGGGGGTCTCCTTGTTCCAACCGTCTCATGGAGCAAGAACGGGTATGCTGTCCATGGAGCGGATACGGGACAACCTACTAACTAATCTAGAATGAGGGATTGTGGTTTGTTTGGAGTTGTGCGTTAGCTGCACATCCCCAACCCGAAACTCTGAACTCGGGTTTAGTCTATAAGTTAGGGCTCAATGAGGCTATTGGGGTTTGGGGCTTAGAGTGTAGGGCTCAAGGTACAGGCCGGAAAAGAAGTATAGAACCTGTTACAAAACCCTAAGCCCTTAACCCCAACACACCGACACCCCTTAACCCCGAAACCCCTAAACCCCTAAACCCAGACACCGTCCCGAGTCACTCTGCCCAGGCACGTTCTGCATGTTCGGCACGTGCCAGAGTCGCCGGGACGAAATGGTTGCAAGGGCGTCGAAGCAGGTTTGTGTGTCAGGTGTCAGAGAACCCCTACACTGCTAATTACACCCTAAACCATGATTGGATTCTGGGAAGAACCCGAAACTTCAGCGCAGTCCTGAACCTTCAGATCTTGAAGGCATACAGTCCTAAACCCGAAACCCGAAGCTTTAGATTTAAGGGATCTCCATATTGTAAGTATAGCAAAATCGGTAATACTGGTCCTTAGGGTTCCTGATGAGTAGCAAATTTAGAATTAGCAATACTTTTCCTTAGGTTTCCCTATTACTGTCAGTATAGCAGCATTAGTAATACTATTCCTTAGGGTCCTTTGTGTCAGTGTAGCAGAGTTAGATATACTTTTCCCTAGGGTTCCCCATGGTAAGTATAGCAGAATTAGTAACACTATTCCTTAGGGTTCCTTACTACAATTACAGCACATTCCTCAGACTTCCTTGTTATCGCTACATTACACTATGCCTCTTCGCCCGACACCTGGCCCAGATTGCTGGCTCACTGGGGCATTCCCGAGGACCGCTGGGGTTTCAGAGTTCGTTCAAACCCGCTTTTTTTTTCAGGGGGATTGAAGGTTTCAGCGCTTTGGGGTTTAGGTTTCAGCTATTGTGGGGGGATTGAATTTTAAGGTTTAGGGTGTATGGGGTTTCAATCCAGTGTGGCTGCGTGTCCTACATCGGCTGTTCAGGTGAACAAGGTCTTGCTAGGCTTATGGTGGAGGTTCGGGTCTGGAAACGGCGTAAACCATAACCTAGGGCCTATACCGCGCACCTCGGGAAAAAAGCAGAGGTTTCGATTGGGAGCTTCGCATTGAGATCGAGTGCTCTCTCTTAGTTTTAGTCGCTGGCCCTCTGTTCTCTGTCTTCTCCCTATACCCCTGCTGAACCGGTCTTTGGCGCCGGGTTCCTCCAGCACGGCAGCCTCGATAATTGGCGGTAGTTCCGAAGCCCCGAACCTTAGTTTAGGGTGTCGGGTTTCATTGGTTCAGGGTTCAGGGGTTAGTATGAATGTTCAGGGTTTAGGGTTGAGGTTTCCTGCTGAAAAAAAGATCAAGGTGGTCTATAGGAGCCCTCTTCTAATCCAGAAGCGGCCCTACACTACACTCTGAACTCCAGGGCGTCCTTAACCCTGGGAATATCACCCTCAACCCTCAGCTCTAAACCCTAAACCCTCAACCCTAAACCCCAAACCCTCAACCCTAAACCCTCAACCCTAAAGCCCTCGCGAAGTGACCAGAGCCGCCAGGATCAGATCTCCATCTTTTGGGCACAGCTTCGCAAGCAGGTCCTTGAGGGTTCAGGGTTTCGGCGTTCAGGGCCTTAGGGGTTTAGGAGTTTAGGGGTTTAGGGTTCGGGGGTTTAGGGGCTTAGGGGTTTAGGGTTTAGGGTTGATTCAGTGAGGGTTTACGGTACTTTTTGGTGAGATTGGGGTTGAAAACCCTCGGGAGACTAGGCCTCCGGCACTCGAAAGTCCTTTTGTTCAGGTTACGGCGGATATGACCTGAATTTACATTGCGCGCGCAAACAGCGGACGCGCACGGCTAAACCCGATAAACCCGATAAACCCGATAAACCCGATAAACCCGATAAACCCGATAAACCCGATAAACCCGGTAAACCCGGTAAACCCGATAAACCCGATAAGCCCGATAAACCCGATAAACCCGATAAACCCGATAAACCCGATAAGCCCGATCAACCCGCTAAACCCGGTAAACCCGATAAACCCGATAAACCCGGTAAACCCGGTGAACCTGATATCAGGGGCGCCCCCTCAACCCAAGGCCCCACCCTCGGAGTTCAAGATCTGTAAGGGTTGCGGTTTAGAAGGCAGGGGTGTCCCAGCAACCCAAGGCCCGACCCTCGGAGTTCAAGATTTGTAAGAGTTCTGATTTAAAAACCAGGGGCGTCCAAGGCCCCCGCCCCGGAGTTCAAGCTCACTAAGAGGCGGTGATCTGAAAATCATGGGCGCTCCATCAGTCCAGGGCCTCCTCCTCGGAGTTCAACATCTGTCAAAGCTTTGATTTCAGAATCAGGGGTGCCCCATCAGTCCAAAGCCCCACCCTCAGAGTTCAAGGATCTGTAAGGGTTCTGATTTAAAAATCAGGGGCGCCCCGCTCCATCAGAGTCCAAGGCCCCACCCTCGGAGTTCAAGATCTGTAAGGGTTGTGATTTAAAAATCAGGGGCGCCCCGCTCCATCAGAGTCCAAGGCTCCACCCTCGGAGTTCAAGATCTGTAAGGTTTGGGATTTAGAAATCAGGGGCGCCCCGCCCCATCAGAGTCCAAGGCCCCACCCTCGGAGTTCAAGATCTGTAAAGGTTGTGATTTAGAAATCAGGGGTGTCCCATCAACCCAAGGCCCGACCCTCGGAGTTCAAGATTTGTAAGAGATCTGATTAAAAAACCAGGGGCGTCCAAGGCCCCACCCCCGGAGTTCAAGCGCACTAAGATGGGCGCTCCATCAGTCCAAGTCCTCATCCTCGGAGTTCAACATCTGTCAAAGCTTTGATTTCAGAATCAGGGGTGCCCCATCAGTCCAAAGCTCCACCCTCGGAGTTCAAGGATCTGTAAGGGTTCTGACTTAAAAATCAGGGGCGCCCCGCTCCATCAGAGTCCAAGGCCCCACCCTCGGAGTTCAAGATCTGTAAGGGTTGGGATTTAGAAATCAGGGGCGCCCCGCTCCATCAGAGTCCAAGGCCCCACCCTCGGAGTTCAAGATTTGAAAGAGTTCTGATTAAAACAACCAGGGGCGTCCGAGGCCCCACCCCCGGAGTTCAAGCTCACTAAGAGGCGGTGATCTGAAAATCATGGGCGCTCCATCAGTCCAGGGCCTCCTCCTCGGAGTTCAACATCTGTCAAAGCTTTGATTTAAGAATCAGGGGTGCCCCATCAGTCCAAAGCCCCACCCTCGGAGTTCAAGGATCTGTAAGGGTTCTGATTTAAAAATCAGGGGCGCCCCGCTCCATCAGAGTCCAAGGCCCCACCCTCGGAGTTCAAGATCTGTAAGGGTTGGGATTTAGAAATCAGGGGCGCCCCGCCCCATCAGAGTCCAAGGCCCCACCCTCGGAGTTCAAGATCTGTAAGGGTTGTGATTTAGAAATCAGGGGTGCCCCATCAACCCAAGGCCCGACCCTCGGAGTTCAAGATTTGTAAGAGTTCTGAAGAAAAACCAGGGCGTCCAAGGCCCCACCCCCGGAGGACAAGCTCACTAAGAGGCGGTGATCTGAAAATCATGGGCGCTCCATCAGTCCAAGTCCTCATCCTCGGAGTTCAACATCTGTCAAAGCTTTGATTTAAGAATCAGGGGTGCCCCATCAGTCCAAAGCTCCACCCTCGGAGTTCAAGGATCTGTAAGGGTTCTGATTTAAAAATCAGGGGCGCCCCGCTCCATCAGAGTCCAAGGCCCCACCCTCGGAGTTCAAGATCTGTAAGGGTTGTGATTTAGAAATCAGGGGTGCCCCATCAACCCAAGGCCCGACCCTCGGAGTTCAAGATTTGAAAGAGTTCTGATTAAAAAAACCAGGGGCGTCCGAGGCCCCACCCCCGGAGTTCAAGCTCACTAAGAGGCGGTGATCTGAAAATCATGGGCGCTCCATCAGTCCAAGGCCTCATCCTCGGAGTTCAACATCTGTCAAAGCTTTGATTTCAGAATCAGGGGTGCCCCATCAGTCCAAAGCCCCACCCTCGGAGTTCAAGGATCTGTAAGGGTTCTGATTTAAAAATCAGGGGCGCCCCGCTCCATCAGAGTCCAAGGCCCCACCCTCGGAGTTCAAGATCTGTAAGGGTTGTGATTTAGAAATCAGGGGCGCCCCGCTCCATCAGAGTCCAAGGCCCCACCCTCGGAGTTCAAGATTTGAAAGAGTTCTGATTAAAACAACCAGGGGCGTCCGAGGCCCCACCCCCGGAGTTCAAGCTCACTAAGAGGCGGTGATCTGAAAATCATGGGCGCTCCATCAGTCCAGGGCCTCCTCCTCGGAGTTCAACATCTGTCAAAGCTTTGATTTAAGAATCAGGGGTGCCCCATCAGTCCAAAGCCCCACCCTCGGAGTTCAAGGATCTGTAAGGGTTCTGATTTAAAAATCAGGGGCGCCCCGCTCCATCAGAGTCCAAGGCCCCACCCTCGGAGTTCAAGATCTGTAAGGGTTGTGATTTAGAAATCAGGGGCGCCCCGCCCCATCAGAGTCCAAGGCCCCACCCTCGGAGTTCAAGATCTGTAAGGGTTGTGATTTAGAAATCAGGGGTGCCCCATCAACCCAAGGCCCGACCCTCGGAGTTCAAGATTTGTAAGAGTTCTGAAGAAAAACCAGTGGCGTCCAAGGCCCCACCCCCGGAGGACAAGCTCACTAAGAGGCGGTGATCTGAAAATCATGGGCGCTCCATCAGTCCAAGTCCTCATCCTCGGAGTTCAACATCTGTCAAAGCTTTGATTTCAGAATCAGGGGTGCCCCATCAGTCCAAAGCTCCACCCTCGGAGTTCAAGGATCTGTAAGGGTTCTGATTTAAAAATCAGGGGCGCCCCGCTCCATCAGAGTCCAAGGCCCCACCCTCGGAGTTCAAGATCTGTAAGGGTTGTGATTTAGAAATCAGGGGTGCCCCAGCAACCCAAGGCCCGACCCTCGGAGTTCAAGCTTTGAAAGAGTTCTGATTAAAAAAAAACAGGGGCGTCCGAGGCCCCACCCCCGGAGTTCAAGCTCACTAAGAGGCGGTGATCTGAAAATCATGGCGCTCCATCAGTCCAGGGCCTCCTCCTCGGAGTTCAACATCTGTCAAAGCTTTGATTTCAGAATCAGGGGTGCCCCATCAGTCCAAAGCCCCACCCTCGGAGTTCAAGGATCTGTAAGGGTTCTGATTTAAAAATCAGGGGCGCCCCGCTCCATCAGAGTCCAAGGCCCCGGAGTTCAAGATCTGTAAGGGTTGGGATTTAGAAATCAGGGGCGCCCCGCCCCATCAGAGTCCAAGGCCCCACCCTCGGAGTTCAAGATCTGTAAGGGTTGTGATTTAGAAATCAGGGGTGCCCCATCAACCCAAGGCCCGACCCTCGGAGTTCAAGATTTGAAAAGTTCTGATTAAAAAAACCAGGGGCGTCCGAGGCCCCACCCCCGGAGTTCAAGCTCACTAAGAGGCGGTGATCTGAAAATCATGGGCGCTCCATCAGTCCAAGTCCTCATCCTCGGAGTTCAACATCTGTCAAAGCTTTGATTTCAGAATCAGGGGTGCCCCATCAGTCCAAAGCTCCACCCTCGGAGTTCAAGGATCTGTAAGGGTTCTGACTTAAAAATCAGGGGCGCCCCGCTCCATCAGAGTCCAAGGCCCCACCCTCGGAGTTCAAGATCTGTAAGGGTTGGGATTTAGAAATCAGGGGCGCCCCGCCCATCAGAGTCCAAGGCCCCACCCTCGGAGTTCAAGATCTGTAAGGGTTGTGATTTAGAAATCAGGGGTGCCCCATCAACCCAAGGCCCGACCCTCGGAGTTCAAGATTTGTAAGAGTTCTGATTACAACAACCAGGGGCGTCCAAAGCCCCACCCCCGGAGTTCAAGCTCACTAAGAGGCGGTGATCTGAAAATCATGGGCGCTCCATCAGTCCAAGTCCTCATCCTCGGAGTTCAACATCTGTCAAAGATTTGATTTCAGAATCAGGGGTGCCCCATCAGTCCAAAGCTCCACCCTCGGAGTTCAAGGATCTGTAAGGGTTCTGACTTAAAAATCAGGGGCGCCCCGCTCCATCAGAGTCCAAGGCCCCACCCTCGGAGTTCAAGATCTGTAAGGGTTGGGATTTAGAAATCAGGGGCGCCCCGCCCCATCAGAGTCCAAGGCCCCACCCTAGGGTTGTGATTTAGAAATCAGGGGTGCCCCATCAACCCAAGGCCCGACCCTCGGAATTCAAGATTTGTAAGAGTTCTGATTACAACAACCAGGGGCGTCCAAAGCCCCACCCCCGGAGTTCAAGCTCACTAAGAGGCGGTGATCTGAAAATCATGGGCGCTCCATCAGTCCAAGTCCTCATCCTCGGAGTTCAACATCTGTCAAAGCTTTGATTTAAGAATCAGGGGTGCCCCATCAGTCCAAAGCTCCACCCTCGGAGTTCAAGATCTGTAAGGGTTCTGATTTAAAAATCAGGGGCGCCCCGCTCCATCAGAGTCCGAGGCCCCACCCTCGGAGTTCAAGATCTGTAAGGGTTGTGATTTAGAAATCAGGGGTGCCCCATCAACCCAAGGCCCGACCCTCGGAGTTCAAGATTTGAAAGAGTTCTGATCAAAAAACCAGGGGCGTCCAAGGCCCAACCCCCGGAGTTCAAGCTCACTAAGAGGCGGTGATCTGAAAATCATGGGCGCTCCATCAGTCCAAGTCCTCATCCTCGGAGTTCAACATCTGTCAAAGCTTTGATTTAAGAATCAGGGGTGCCCCATCAGTCCAAACCCCCACCCTCGGAGTTCAAGGATCTGTAAGGGTTCTGATTTAAAAATCAGGGGCGCCCCGCTCCATCAGAGTCCAAGGCCCCACCCTCGGAGTTCAAGATTTGAAAGAGTTCTGATTAAAACAGCCAGGGGTGTCCGAGGCCCCACCCCCGGAGTTCAAGCTCACTAAGAGGCGGAGATCAAAAATTCATGGGCGCTCCATCAGTCCAGGGCCTCCTCCTCTTCAACATCTGTCAAAGCTTTGATTTAAGAATCAGGGGTGCCCCATCAGTCCAAAGCCCCACCCTCGGAGTTCAAGGATCCGTAAGGGTTCTGATTTTAAAATCAGGGGCGCCCCGCCCCATCAGAGTCCAAGGCCCCACCCTCAGAGTTCAAGACCTGTCAGGGTTCTGACTCAAGAATCGGTCGGTAGTCATAGATTTCAGAAGACTTTCAGAAGAACAGAGACACAACAATAAACCCAAAACAGTTCCGAAGTGCGCGTCAAATTCCGGGTGCACGCACAAGAGCACGTCAATTGAGTCGAGATTCGTGGTCGTTCGCCAAAAAATCCGCTGAATAGGATGCAATATAACCCCACGTGAAATGTAAAAACTCTCTCTGACTGACAGTTGAAGAGAATTCGCAGGACTGCGGGAACTGCTGCCAGCAATGAGCCACAAAAACCTGGTACGACAGGCACTGCCCGGAAATCGCAGGCTGCAAAACCAAGGTAGCAACCAGGCTGCAACAGCCACAGGGTAGTATTGCCTGTCATGTGCCAGGCTGTAGGCAGAATTCCAGCGCAATTCCAGCGCAATTCCAGCGCAATTCGGCGCAATTCGGCGCAATTCGGCGCAATCGGCGCAATTCGGCGCAATTCGGCGCAAACGGCGCAATTCGGCGCAATCGGCGCAATTCGGCGCAAACGGCGCAATTGGCGCAATTCGGCGCAAACGGCGCAATTGGCGCAATTCGGCGCAATCGGTGCTTTCCAGCGCATTCCAACGCATTCGGCGCATTCCAGCGCAATCGGCGCATTCCAGCGCAATCGGCGCAATCCAGCGCATGGCCATCTGCGGCCACTGAGCCCGCACGCACTGTCTGAATTTACACGGTAGCTACCTGAAGTGAACTACGGGAAGCACACTGAACCAGCCCCTCCGACCGACTCTCTAACAGTCCCTGGCACATTCGGGTCCCTTGTCGGGTCCTTTTTACATGAGTGCTGTACTATATCGGGGACTTATCCAGGGACCCCAATTTAGAGAACTGCCCACATGATGGTCAGGAGTACTCTAGGAATCAGATCCCCAACCCGATGCCCCAAGCCACCCTAAATCTTGCGAAGGCCCGGATCCTTAGTGCACTTAAGCATAGAGCCCTTAACTTCAAGCTTGAAAAACCACCCTAAACCTTAAACCGCTACATCCTCACAAGCCTAGACCCCCAAAATCCTAAGTCCCAAACCCCCTAAGCCCTAAACCCTAAACACCCTAAACCCTAAACCCAAAGTTTCGGCACAGCTGTCAGGAGGCGTACTTCGAATCGAAGGCGCTGTTTCAAGTCTTTCATGTAGTTTAGGGTCTATGGTTTCAAAGCTGAAGAGATAGAACAGGGTTCCTTGTAGGGTTCCCACTATGGGCTAATAGAAGGGTTTCCATGGGTGATAAAGGGTTTTTATGGTAGCTTTTGTACAATTCAGTGTTTTAGGAGGGTACTCCTATAGGAGGGTACTTCGATTTCAGGGTTCTGCAAAGGGTTCTTTCTTTACAGGGCTCTGCAAGCGGGTTTTAGGGGTTTTAGTATAGCACAGTATTCCTGCACAGTCTCGTTGCAACATGGCTTTAGGGCAATATAGATGCCTGAATAGTTAGTAATGGTGCTCCTGAGGGTTCCTTTATAATTTTATGATTAGAGTTCAATATGCCACGCAAAACTTTAGTCTAATCATTCAGCCTCCTATATCAATCCGATTTGGGGTTCTTCAGAGCATTCTACAAGTGACAAGAGTCTATACAGGTTCTAGGAGGCTTCTATAAAGGCTTCCCTTCGGTTTGAGGGTTCAGGGTTTGTATTACCCGCAGAAACGTCTGCGGGATCATGGTGTCATACACCTCCAAACGCCCTATTCTAAATATCTCAGGTTTCTAATGTATGAAGCTTTGGAAGTCTGCGTGGGCCCCCTCAGGCTTCTCCCAGCCCTTTGGCCGAATTCAAACACCACCCCAAAAAGCTCCCCAGTGAACTCTCGCGGACCTTGCCGGGGAGGTGCTTCCGGAGTACATCACCCTGAAAGATGTGGAGGCGACGGGGATCCTATCATGCACGGTTTAAGGTTTCAGGGTTTTGGGCTTTTAGGTTTAGGCTTTCTTTTGGGTTTATAGAGCCTTTAACTCTAGATCCCCCTAGCCCAAACCCGGAGTCTCAAACCCCCAGCCGCAGACTCCAAACCCGTCTGAAGCAGTCATCATAGGGCTCGCGGCTTCGGGTTTAGGGTCACCAAATCCTTGCTTTGGCCTCAAGCCAAAGTCCACACACCAGCGATTCTGCAGCGCTTCGGGGTTTTGGTTGGGGGGACCCGGGGGCCTGCACGAAGATGAAAGCCCCAGTACCTCCGCAATCCCGAATCGGATCTCTTGTTTGCGTCGGGTTTAGGGTTTAGCATTTAGGGTTTAGGGTTTGGGGTATGCCTTACAACCCGAGACACCTAAACGCTGAACCCCAGACCATATACAGGTCGTTGGTCTCTTTGCTTAGGCTTTCTGTGTTAAGGGACTGTGTATCCCCTGAATGCCAAACTCCCAAACCCATTTAGCGTCGGGTGAAATCCCAAAACCCTGTACATGTGGGGCCCTTTTCAGAAAACACCCGGACCGAAACCATGAGCAACCACATCCAACACCCAAAACCTCAACATAAAACAGCTTAAGCCGAAAAACCTGGAACCTACCACCAGCATAAACCAATAACTCACAACAACCTCCAACAACCAAGAAGCTTGAATCGAAACAATAATGTAAGTCGAAAGAACAACCTAAACCTCAAAAAAACAGTTAGCTTCACCAGAAAGCCTCAGCCTAACCTAAACCTGGACGACACAACCCTAAATCTAAACAACCTGATAACCTAAGACGAGAACCTACGCCGAAAACCGCCTCCTAAACCGAAGCAGGTCGTCCTGTTGAAGGTCTTGCGGAGAGTCCGGGACAAGTACTCCACGAGCAGGGCACCTCGACGCTTGTGGGGAGCAATTTTTCGTCTAGCTTTGCGGTTATAGTAGAAGTCATAACGTGGGAACATGCCCCTATAACCCCTTAATTACCCTAAGCCTTAACCCGTAAACCCTATACCCAAATCCTAAACCCTGCAAGCCCTTCTAAGCCCTACACCCTGCCTATACCCTACTAAACCCTGAACCCCACACCCAAATCCAACCAGACCTTATACCCTCAACCCTAATGAAGCTCAGGTGAGCCGGGATCAGTTCGTCACGCAGAATACCAAGAAGTTCGACCAGGTCCGAACTTTAGTAGCCCTGAAACTTGGTAAGGTTTAGGGTTTAGAGGTTTAGGGTCTAGCGGTTTAGGGTTTAGGGGTTTAGGGTATGGGGGGTTCGGGGTTCAGGGTTCATATAGCGAGTTTTTTTTTTCCGTCGATATTTTCTACCGGGTTGCGTGAGTCGGCTCTGTGGGCTTTTCTCTGGCTTTCTATAGGGATTTATGAGTCATCTATAGGCTCGTAGGGCTTTCAAAGGAGGGTCCTAGTGGCGATAGGCTTGTAGGGTTCGGGCTGTTGATGCAGAGTTCGCTGCTGAAGCTTAGGGCTCCCAGAGTTTCGCGGTGGCTCTTCCTCGTTGCTTGTTCTGCTTTTCGGTCGCTAAACCGGGAGCTTAATAGTTAGAATAGGGTGTTGGGGCATTATTGCCCATTATACTATAACTATAATAAGGAACCCTCAAAATAGTATAGGTAGTTGTCTAGGCCCTTCGATTATCTAGGCCCTTAGATTAGGTATCCGACCTGTGGGTGGGGTTTGGGAGCTTCCGGGTTGAGAGGTCAGCTCTGGGTCAACCAAACCACCCAAAACAGGCAACACCAAAGCTTCCACGCCGCCACAACTACATCCTTTAGACCCCAAGCAAAAAGTCCCAAAAAGCCATAAACCCAGCCAGTTAGTAGCATTCAGTTTTTTTACGATATCTATTGGTGTAAGAGGTTTCACAGGATTTTCTGTGGAAGCGAGCTCCAAGAATATTTACGTAGTGGCCCAAGGGGGACACTGTTACTCTTTCTCCAGACTTGTAGAGTACCCTTGTTTTTAATGCGTTTTCCCAAGAGGCCCGAAGGGGGAACGTAAGGCCAACCACTAGACCCTCATGCAGACTGTAGGGCTGCCTTCTATCTATGCCGAATTGAGCACCAAGGGCGCTGCGGGTTTCCGCAAGCCTACACCTCACAGACCTACGCTTAGGGACCCCAAAGTAGCAGAAGTAGAAGCATCTTACAGGATATCCCTACCTTGTTGTGCTTCAGTGATGGAGGGTTTGTATGATGTGAGACAACACGAACTCCTGCCTTGTTGGGTTTGACTTGAGGGTGTGAGTTTGGGAGCAGCATCCCCCACAACTTAAACCGACGCCCCGAGATGTGTATGTCGACCATCACAGACACGTCACTCTGGGGCGTTTCACAGGGAATCCCTTAGCTCTCAACGGAAGATGAGTCTCTTGAACCCGAAACCCTTTAAAAGAGTTTACAGAGCCCTTGAAAAACCGCCCTGTCGGATCAGAGCTCAAAATATGTGAGCCCTGAGCCCCAAGCCCTTGAACCCTGTACCCCTACTTCCTAGAGCTTAAACCCACGGTTTGGGTTTTGGGTTTCAACCCCTTACGGGTCGGGGTGAATCAGAAGTTTCCCATTTTCTGCGAGTGCAGTGCCCTATACAGTGCAAACCAGCTAGATTTCGAAGAGCCTCAGCCAAAGGCCGAACACCCCAAAGCTCAATCCCAATCCCTAATCCCCAAGCCCAGCCCTAAACCCCGAACGCTTGCAGGAGTACTCAATGATGGACTCCTGTGGCAAGGTGCAGATCTTCTCGGGGTGAGAGTTTTGGGGGTTCATGTCGCATAACATCGGGGCCTTCGTAAACTGGTCGTTAAAGGGGCCTCAAACGGGTTTTTCAAGGGGCCTTTAAAGAAGAAGCCCTTCAAGGAACCCTTAATGGGAAGTTGATAGGGGTGGGATTGGTGGGATTTGGGGGTTTTGGGTGGAGAGGCCGTAATCAGTGGAACAGGCATTCAAGAAGGTTGAGGGTTTTGTTGCATTTTCCGGTATTTAGGGTTGGCTTGGAACATGGAATGCAAGAGTCATTGGCAATATTGTGCCCACGTGAACAGTCCCCGTAGCGATCCATTCGCGTTCAGAGTCTACATTAGGAGCACTGATTGTCAGAAACTCCTTAGATCACCTTAGTCAATGCCGACAGATGGGACTGAAGCCCCTTATGAAAGGATCCCATGAGCAACCCCGCATGTGTCTGACTTCAATGGTGACAACAGTTTAGTTGATGGTGAAGATGACGCTGATGCTCATGCTTTCGCTTCTGTGGATTGTAGAAGCATTACAAATTATCTCCAGGAGCGAAGAAGAAGCCAAGAAGAAGCCCTAAACACTAAACCGCGAAGAAGAATCGTAGAAGTATTTCCTCCGTCTGGGATGGCTCAGTGCGTAAAGCTTCAGGGCTCGAGGGTATGGAGTTTGGCTGGGTAGGCTCGGTGTGGGACAAAGGATGAACGAGTGACGAGACTTGCTAGGATCCAGACCACCCGCATACAAGCGTGTTCGCAGCTTTTGACTCAAGCCACTTCGGCTTAGCGCTCTTGCTCTCTTGCCAAGCACATCTTGCTCGTCGTCGATCTCGCCATGGTGCGTTCAACCTTCGCGGTGGCGGTGGTGATGCTGGTGCTTCCAGCAACGGCACGCCGGAACAAGGACTGGGCTCCGAGTGCTTCGCTTTATACGGGTCCTGCCACGACATAGAACAAGCTTTTTGCTGGTGTCTTTTATGGCTTGGAGGATGACATCTTCACCATGGACATCGGGAATTCAGAAGCTCGTGATCTGCAGGCAGAGCTTTTGAAAGTAGCCCTGGTGATACCTTGTATATCAACCCACTGGAGACTTATGGGTCCGCTCGAGGCCGCACCCCTAAACCTCTGAACCCGTAAACCCCCATTACCCTCAACCCTTAACGCTCTCAAGTCCAAGGCCCTACCCCACCATAAGCCCCTAAACCCTAAACAATAAAGCCCCAGCCCTAAACCTTATAAGGCTCTAAAGTCCAAGCCCCACGACGAGGCGGAGCTGGAGTCTTGGCTCAGCGACAGGTTCAGCGTGGGGCTGAGCACATCGGATGCTCAGTGGTGGGCAAGGAAGGAGTCGTGGTACATGGAGACGCTGGTTTCTTCTTAAGTAGTGATAGCGCAATAACAATATGAGGCTCGTAGCACAATAATGAAGACCATAACAATAAGAATCGAATTCATAATGAGAATGATAATAAGTCTAATGCAGGGTTGAGGGTTTCTTGCTGAAGAGGGTATGATAAGCTACCATGATGAGGAAAGAACTCGACTTACTCTTATATCCGTCTTCCACTATATGTATTGAATGATATAAGTTCCTTGTCAAGGGCCCTATATATCTTTGTGATGGAAACTGGTTATGAAAGAGGTTCCTTGTCCAGAGCATAGGAAGTGCGGTGCCACGCTCCCGTATCTCAAGAAGCTGTACTCGGTGCTCAGCGACCGGTTCAAGATGGCCTACTCATCGAAAAAAGCCGTTGAGTTGATGTCTCTTGGTGATTTGGGGTGAAGTTTCCTATAAGAGCTCCCCGGATAGCTGCGATGCTAGATTCCTGTAAATTTCGGATAGCGGAAATCCGGACAGCACCATGATCTACAAGGGATCGCAACTAGACCGCCACATGTGCACGGCAAAAGATCTTGATCCTTAAGCAGACAAACTAAACTACACAGTTTGAAATCTCTCAGCCCAGTCCAAAACGCTTTAATGTCAGAACGCGTCTTCAACAGATCCGACGTTCATGACTTGCTTTCCTTCAGGGTTGAATAGGAATCCAACTTCATGAACCCTAAACCCTAAACCCGGAAACCTCCCATCCCTTATACATCCCTTAGCAGAAACCCAGAAGAACCCTAAAATGCCTACCCTAAGAAACGCCAGAAGCCAGGTTCGATTACGCGAAGAAGCAGCTTGATCCAGACCAGCTCTTGGCAATGTACAACGTTCTCGTGGACCGCTTCAAGCTCGGGCTTAGCCAGGAGGACTCTGAGGTTTAGGGTTTTGGGCTCTAAACCCTGCACCCTGTTTCGGGTTTGTGGGTTGTGAAGTTCCTGCCGTTTAGGGTTCTAAGGTTTATAGTCGGGGTGCTAGGGACCGTGCTTGGGGTGTCGGTTGAAGTCGGGTCTTTGCGATGGAGCGCGGCTTGGGGCTTTGCGGGTTTAGGTTTCAGGGAAGTTGGGGCCTACGGGGGTTAAGGTTTTAGGAACCCTAAACCCTAAAAAGTTTAGGGTTTGAGTCCAAAAGTTGGAAGGAGGCCCGTTCGCGAGCTCCAGAGCTTCTCGAGAAGGATGCAGCCTCGGCGGAGCTCGGCGGTCTATACAGCATCATGGTCGATCGCTTCGGGATGCGGCTGCCACAGAGGGCACCGAGTTCCGGAAAAGAAATCTCGGTCGGGGTTTGCGGTTAGGGGTTCTCATTCTGGTTGCTGTATACATGCTTTGAAAAAGTAGGAGGTTTGGGGGGTTCAGGGACACCCAAAGGCCCTAAACCCTAAATCCGAAGCCCTGAAACCCTGAGCTTTAAAGCCCTACACCCGAATCCTAAACCCTAAACCCGAAGCCCACACCCGAAGACGCCCTCCTACGGGTTTGCAGAGTTTGACAGGAGGCGCAGCAGACCGCCATGGAGGTGGCTGCTGCCGGCTGTGAAGCTGCCACTTACCTTGGGTTGAGGGATCAGGGGTTTGAGGGTTTAGGGTTTGTGGCGGTTTGTGGTAGGCTGTACGGGTTTACATGAGGTTTAAGGGTTTATGCTTTACGGGTTGAGGGTTTAAGGGTTCAGAGTTTTGGATGCTACACCATGGTCCTACAGGGACAGCAGCCTGGCAGACAACTGCGGGCTCGTAGGCTCGCAATGACTGGGCAACTGGTTCTCTAAATTTGGGCGCCTTTTCGGGTCCTTTCAATAAGGGCGCCGTACTGTTTAGGGCACCCCAAATTAAAGAGCTACGCGAATGCAGTTTGGGGGTTGTTGCTTAATCAGGGAGTTCTCCAGTCTCTGGATGACTGAGTGGTTATTATGCCAGCCGCAAGAACAGCCAATATTAATCGTTAGGCTTGCCTTATGATAACTGTAGAATGATCTACACCGGATTACACATTACAAGTGGTGGTCGTGATGAGGCCTGTCTTCAAGAATTGGGACTTGGACGTCCCAATTTCCTTTGTACCCTGCACGCCCTAAACTTCTGCCGAACCCTACAACTCTGGGCCCTTAACCCTAAACCCTCCTAGCCTTCTCAGGCCTTCTTTGGGAGACCTCGCCTCATCAGGAGGCAAAAGGAGCCCCCCCCCTCCCCCCCGCCTCTCCAAAAAAAAGAAAAGCCTTAAACCCTTAGCCCTGAACTCTCAACCCTACGGAAACCCTCAAACTGTGCGGTCGCCCTCTCAATGCAAGCTGCAGCCCAGGACAAGTCTATGGCTTAGGGTTCGAGGGTTTGGGGATTTTAGTCGGGTTCTGGGTTGGGGTAATACGGCTTAAAGTCTCGAGTTTCGGGGGAAGCTGCAGCCGAGGACAAGTTCAAGGATTTCTACAATCGTTTTCGTGACCAGCAGAGGGCCACCGATGAGGCCCCCTAAGCTCGGGAGCTGGTTCCTGTAAGGGGGTACCATACGGTTTGTAATGGGGTTCCGATTAAAGTGTCGTCTAGGGTTTATAATAGGGTTCCTTGCAGGGGTTGCTTTTGAAAGGGGTTCCTGTAAGCGCGGTTCTTATAGGGATTTTAGGGTTCAAGGTTTCTATGTTGAGGGGTTTAGCGTATCAAGGGGATACCACAAGATTGAGCTGTCATGCTGGCCGACTCCAAACTATATGGGTGTCGGAAATAGTGATGCCGCTATAGTTCCTATCATTCTATTCTATTCATTCCCCAACAGCGTGGTTTGCACACTGTGGGGTTCTTACGTAGGGAGTGAAGAGAATTAAGTGGTCAGGCTCACGCAAGGCGGTCGTGACCCCTCGGAAGCTTTGCGCGCATGCACAGGATCCATGTGGCTGCCTCCTCCGGGAACCCAGATCCTTTGTAAATTCCAATGCATTGGCCTCCTTGTGGCCTCGAGATGGCTGAATCGCTTTTGGGCGGCTCCTGAATCCGGCTAATGTAGGACCTGATGAAGAGACCCTGGGCCTATAACCCCCAAATAAGTAGGATTCATGTAAGGAACCCGAATAAAGGCCCAAGGTTTCTTAATCAGGTTCCTACATTGGTACTCCTTAATCCCGCCAGTATATTTTGGGAAGCACGGTGATTCCGCCAGTAGATGAGGGGAGGCATGTTGGCTGCCTCCGCCAGATCGTCATCAGGCCTGCGAATCCAAGTAAACCTTGAACAGAAGCACTTAGGTTCAGGATTTGGGTTTTAGGGCTAGGGCTAGGGTTCATGGTTTGCGGTTTTGGTTTTAGGGTTTCGGGTTAGAGTTTTCCTGGTAGCCCTCATTTTCTTGCTGATCTCCTGGCGAGGTTCAGGCTTCAGAAATCATCTACTTAGCCCCCGGGGTTTAGCTAGTCCAGTTAGCAGCCTAAAATGAAGCTTGGTGCTTAGGGTTTAGGGTTTAGGCTTTAGGCTTGAAGGACAGAGCCTGCAAAGCGTTTCATGAGGACCCTACCAAACTCGAAACCCCGAACCCTAAACCCTACACCCTAAACCCTCATGAGGCTAGGGTTTCTTGGCGTTGGCGTTGGCCTTTGCCTTTTTCCAAGCCTCCCAAACTGCCATGCAGG